TTTTGAAACTCATTTTTGTAATGAAGAAACTAGCAAGGATAACGGTACTAAAGGATAAGCTGTCCTCATAATGGCGAATGTTGATCATCATTCACTTGTCAGATAAAATCTGTAGAAGATAAATCACTGGACAGCAAAAATGGGGGATAAAAAAGCAATGAGCCCCAAAGATTTTATATGATACCTTTTATACAATAAGTTAGGTTTTCAGAAGTGATGCAAGCATAACAATATATGCAAGCACATTCTTCATAGTCCAAGGTTCAGTTCTACCCAATTATAAAGGGGTTACGAACAATGAAATACTATTTATCAAGGATTGTATATATATAATATATGGTTTGATATGGGAAAACATTAGTCCTAAGCTAAAGAGGTGTAATGGATTATTTTCGTGTATTTATTTATTCTTATTTTATTTTTTTGCTGTGAAGGAACAAGTTGTGAGATCTTTTGAGCTTATTACTATTTTCATAAACATGCAAACTCTGTATCTGCAAGCTGCATGCCGAAGTTTGTTTTTTTGCTGCTGTCAGTCAAAAATATGAAAGGTACCAACTAATTAGTTTTGATTGACAGACGTAAAAAAACAAATTTCAGTGTGCGGCTTRCAGCTACATGTAGGGAGTTTGTATGTTTATGAAAATAGCAAAAATCCTAATCCCACTGTCATTACGCAGTATATCCCAGTAAAGGTAATGATAATTTTACCTACCCTTTTAAAGTGTGATAGAGTTTCTGTATTCAGGTTACACATGGAAGTCACAAGAGTTATACCAGTAAGAAGAACACCTGAAGAAATAAAAACAGTATTTACAAACATTGTTATTAGGTGTTTAACTCACCAGGGCCTGGTTGTACGAAGAGTGGATAGCGCTATCTGTCAGATGGGTGGCGTAGTGGTTTATCGCTCACCCCTCACCACTGTGGTCCAGGTTCGAGCCCTGGCTCAGACTGGATCTTATGCGAGTTGAGTTTGTTTGTTGTGTTGTTCTCTCCTTTGCCTTCTCCGGGTTCTCCAGTTTCCTCCCTCCGTAAAAAGCAACATGTGAGTTGAGTGTTGTATGTTGTAAATATACAATGTAGTGGTAGTGTGTGTGGAGGGAACCTCATGGAAGAGCCCCGCATGGGGAGTGGTGGTTGTAAATATATATATAAATCTTATCCAGTGGATAAATTTATTTTATAACAGCATCGTCTTATCCTCTGGATAAGATTAATCCATCGGATAGCGCTATCCACAATTGTATTTCAAAACCAATTTTGTATTATGAAGAAAACTAGTAAGAATAACAGAAGAAAAGGATAAGCTGTCCTCATAATGGCGAATGTTGATCATCATTCACATGTCAGATAAAATCTGTAGAAATAAAATCACTGGACAGCAAAAATGGGAGATAAAAAAGCAATGAGCCCAACTGACTTTAAACATTAAATAAGTCTGTTTTCAGGAGTGATGTGCACAGGGCTTAAAATAACAATGATAAAAAGGTAAATTTTACACTGTGAAAAGATGACGTTTCGGACACTAGTCCTTTGTCGGAGGTTTTTTCATCTTTTCACGGTGTAAAATTTGCCTTTTTATCATTGTTTATAATTAGAAACACCAACGCAGCTCACACTAGTTTTTAGCTAGTTGGCTTAAAAATAATGGCTAGTCATTAGACAATGTCTGACCAAAATTAGAACTTCTCTTGTCAAATCTTTACCCTACTGGTCATTTTGACCAGTGATGTTGAGCCAAAAACAAGAAATAACCAGTCAGGTGACTGACCAGCTGATATTTTATGCCATGAAGCATAACAATAAAGGAATACTGCTCAAGTATGAAGGGGTACTAACAATGGAATACTATCTATCGAGTACATCGTTATGCTTGTTTGCAGTGGAGAAACAGACCTTACAAATCATCTTAACAAAAGGTATCTTATTCTCTTTTTATAATTATCATACCATGATTTCTTTCATGTAACAATGATCTTGTGGAAGGAACAAAGATCTCAATCAATTCTGGAACTTTCCTAATGATCCGAGTAGCACACAATGTTGCCTGGAAGCAAAAACAAGATCTCATTGTCTAACCAATGTGAAAATACTATAGGGCTATAGAGTTTACATTTGTGTGGTATACAAATTAAAACAGACATAAAAAAATAAAAAAATATAAATATATTTATAACCCGCATATTTCATGTGGATATGTTCATATGCGCAGAAATTAACTATGCCATTCAATTAAATAAATTGTATAGACAGACAAGAAGCATGGAGTAATCAGCAGTATTTACTGGGCTATCTATGGTACAAATTGGAACATTTGCCCAATTTTCAAGATTGTTACTATTTTCACCCCTAAAGCAGCCATGAAACAAGTATGCACGGAATGTTAGCATGACTTTTTTGGGTGTGATTCCTAGGTGAGAAGCATTATGAATGCCCCCGAGTCAGCAGTTGCCTATATAAGCGAGAAAATCCAAGGTTTTGACCTGATTTGCTCAGGTTCGCAATACCAGTCAGTTCTAGACAAATTTTTGACCCCACCAAACTCCCATTTGGCGATGTTTCTCCATTTATAACAGTTCAGTCCGGTAGTTTAATCACAGCCTTGGCAAAACTTGCGTTCCCAAAACTTAACCGCACCTATGAGATGAATGGCTGCTTTGGTGGTGAAAATGATATACTATTCCTATGAGAGTCAAAAGACAAAGAAATGGTGGCCATGTAGTATTAACAAAAAAAAGGTAGTTGGGGATGACGTAACAATAATTAATCTTTGACCCTGAATGGGCTTTGAGTCGATTGTCCATGATGCCCAAGGCCAAATGGCATATTGACTTGGAGTTAACTTATATAATATTGAATTTTCATCACAGAAAAGGAATATTACCTTTTTACGAATATATGAATTAGTAGACTTAATAAGTTTTTCAATTTCACCCGCCAAATCCCTGCTCATTTCTTGCGAACAAATGCTGAAATTGTAATAAGTGATTGAATAAAGGTTAGAAACAAAAAAAAAAACAAAAAAAAAAAAAAAAAAAAAAAAAGGAAGAAAGAAAAATATAGAAACTTATATAAATCTACAGTAATAATATTTTGTAATAACTTACGTTCCAAGTGCGCAGAGTGCCAGTCCGACAACAA